GAACGCTAAACTTGCTCGAGGCAACTTCTGGCGTGGAGGATAGGAAGGCGGGTGGGGAGGCAGTTATTGCTTGGAGGGAGAGTCCCCCTCCCTACAGGAAACCACGACCACATGTCACGGCAGGGAAAATGGCCACGGATCCTGTTCGTCACCCGATGCGAAGTTCGCGAATGGAAGCAAAATTTTGCGATCGGTGCTGTTCGTGAACCAAATTGTTCATGAACAGAAGCGTTCGTGACCTGAGGTACCACTGTACCTGGATAATTGGCTTTATGGATATTGTGTGACTGTGGTGATGAAATGGCCAATTGATTCACTGCCTTTTTGAAATCAGAATCCTATTGACTGGTGCAGGTTGAAACCTAGATGGTATCAAGAAAATGTCAAAAAATTAAAGTGACTTTGAGCTACAGATGAGATTTTATAGTGTAAAATATTAATATTTATTTTAAAAAAACTTCTGCATTCATGAAATGAATTGCTATAGATCATTTTAAAATCCTGTTTTTGATTTTTTAAAAACATGTATGCTGACAGTTGTAGATAGATTTAATTTATACAGGGGGTAATATTGCCACCTTGTGGTGAAGTATGTAAATAAGCATCTTTGGTTCCACATTGAAGTGTCCTAATTTTCAATTAATAGAAATGGACTAGAAATTAATTAATAGAAATAGAATCAAGCATAGGAGCATCTGGGGGAGAGGGGAAGGAAGATGGGAGGTGCTGATTCATTTTGTTAATTCATTTTTGTATTGTAATCAATAAACATGTGGAGACATGGTGCACCTCAGTATCTTCATTGTTTCCGTGAGGTTGAGTTGCATTGCGTCTTTAAGAAGCTTTAAGAATGAGAGTAAAACCATTCACAAGTATTATGTTATTGTGAAAGTACTACAGAATATTTCTTTACAACTTCAGGTGTATGTTGACAGTCGTTGACCCAAATACTGGTATCATAGATAGAAAGGAGTCACTGGAAACTCTAGAAAGGTGAAATGACAACACTTTTTTAACCAGTTCTCTGCCTAAAATAGTGTTAAACAGGTAAATCAGTGTGACGCTGCTTCAGAAACTAAAGCTACAGTTCTTTGCATGCTTACTTAAAAGTATATCTGTTTAAGTCCAAGAGAACTTCCTTCCAAATTCACCCGAATGGAACTGACCTGTGCATTGCCTTTTAAAAGTTACAAAAA